AGAATTGAACCGAATGGGCAATCACTTCCAGATACGTTAGGTTAGAAAAGTAATAAAAAACAAACTGAAAGCAACCAACAAAACAAGCTTAGTGAAGTGAAAATATTTAAAATCGCGGCATGATTTACTTGGGCCAACAAATTTAAAGCAAATAAAAAGAAACTGACATCCTTAATTTTATGTTCACGTACGTTGTTTATTGTATTTTTAACGCAGAAGTTACATGAAAAACAATATTTAAACCAAGAACACAACATATCTAACTGGCGGTCATCATTGTATACGGTAATTGGTTATATCAATTGAGTTGAAATTGTAAATTGGCCACCGTCAAGGGTTAAAAAGCTGACGTTTCGAGCGTTAGCCCTTCGTCAGAGCGAATGGAGGAATTGTGGGTCGTGTGTGGGTTTATATGCAGAAAGTGGAGCTACGCTATTGGTGGGAACATGGCGACGAGAAAAACACGAATAAATAAGTAGAATGAAAAGTGTTCGTTGATAACTGTGGGATTAAGAGCGCCGATTAGAAAGATAAACCTTTGTTTAAGAGTTTTGGGGCTTTCCGAGCTACCTAAATGTAAAGAAAGACCACAGATTGCAATATGTTGCTTAGAATGATTAGGTAGATTAAAGTGTCTGACGACTGGTTTTGATGCGTCCTTGTCGTTCCTATCTACGTCGCGAAGGTGTTCTCGGAATCGGTCACCTAGTCGTCTCCCTGTTTCGCCGATGTATAACTTTTTGCACTTATTGCGGAAAGCCGCAAAACTCTTGAACAAAAGTCTTAATCCCACAGTTATCAACGAACGCTTTTCATTCTACTAATTTATTCGTGTTTTTACCGTCGCCATGGGAGTCCCACCAATAACGTTGCTCCACTTTCTGCATATAAACCCACATACAAACCACAATTTATTTGATACAAACAAATTACGTTGTTACCCCCACCGACGCAGCACCACAGTTTCTATAGAAACTTACCCCCTTTAATCATTGTTTCCGCCCGTAGCAGGGGCTAGATGACTCTACTGGCTAAAAGTCGATAATGGCAAAACAGACCTAAGCTAGTGCTTTCCTAAGGCTAATTTAATCCATTGAGAGATGAAGCTAACGTCTCACCATTTGACTTCCTTTTCAAGTGGAAAGCGGTGGTGAGAGTGAACTGTCACCACTTGTTCTGTGCAAGTTTGATTAAGAATTCTTAGTGAAGAGTTCAAGTGGGCAAACTATCTCGGAAATCGTAAACCTACCTACTACTCAAATGGAACTAATTCATGGACCTAACCCTTAGAGATGAACTTGTGGCCTAGTTCGCCAGCCAACAACATTTTAACAGACTCTCAGTAAGTGCCCTTATCCTATCTATGGACGTAATAACTCATAACAATCACTCCAACAAGGTATCTAAATCATCTCTGGTTAACCAGTAGCCCTTTCATACCACAGCTCAATTAAAACATTCAAGTATCATGCAGTAGACTGCATATTCCTTAAATAGTTTGCAATAATTTTTCCTATGTCTATTTTCACATCACCCGATGAAATGGGCTCAAGGAGCACCTTGTAAGGTCCTGTTCTAACCATGTCCATAGCATAGAAAGGTAAAAAAGAAAACCAAGGGTTTTAGATACTGTAAGAAGTAATTGGAAATTAATTTGTCTTCGATTGGGAGCCTCCAAGAGTGTTTGCGAATTCGTTGTGCAACCTTAATTTAATTGTTTGAACTTATACCCCTGATGAAACGTGCATACGTGCAGATGTTGGTAGAAGCTGAAATTTTCAGAATTATTGTTAATGGTTAGGCTAAGCTCAACCAACTTTAAGAATAGTGGATGAAAGCTGTGTTATTAAAAATTTTTTTTTTCAGTGGACGTTTCAGTCTCAAACTACAGCCTTTCGAAACTTGACGTGAACTTGCAGAAGCTTTAAGTAAATCAGCAATAAAACAATGGAAACACACGTAGGTATACATCATTGATCCTTGGGCTTGATTTTCATTTCAGAACGTTTGAGCGAATAGAAAGCGCCTCGGAAGGCACGCCAGATAACCCCTGTGTGGCTGTCGGTAGTGTTATACAAACCGTTAAGATTGCAGTGAAAACACTCAGAGTTATCAAACCACCAGTCGAAGTCAACGGAGCCGTCCAAACGTCTCTGAAAAACGGTCCAACCTCCACCGTCCGTGGCCATGTCACACAACACTTGAATTGGTTTGCCTCCATCTGGATTGATCGTGTACACTCCACTGGATGTGACGCCATCTTTAAGGAGCTGCTGGCAGCTTTGTGCTTCTGCCGTATCGGTTTCAGGAAGAAATACTAGTCAGAGTAAATTACCTTTATTCGATAAGGCTTGGTGAGTATAACTTATCTTGAGGCAGAGTTGGGCTCAGCTTTTTGCCTCTCTTTTATGAACGACGTAAAGGGCCGACCATTTAACTTTTGAGGAGGGGGGTGGGTGATTTTGAAAAAATATTCCTGCAAGCGCTTGTTGGAAGAAAAAAATTGCATGCAGCCCAAATGTAACAGAAAAAATGTATCACAAAATCAGAAAAAAAAATCCTGCACAGCACACTGCTAGAAAAAAAACTTCTTGATGACCAGAAATCACCCACCCCCCCTCAAAAGTTAAATGGTCGGTCCCTAACGAAACTACTACGAATAATTATAATCAACCCCATCTTGCATTGAGAGGCCCTTTATTCTTGCTTTTTTCATCTATTGGCGATCAACTGGTATTATTAAGAGCTGCGCATAAAGGTATTCTTGAATCATATAATTCAGACAACTCTCTAGTGAAATAAGTCTAAGAACACTCACCGCATGGTTTTTCAGTATATCCAGATGCATAACGACATTTACAGTCTGCAGTGTTGTTTTTATAGTTGGAAACACAGATCTCGTTTTCCCCACACAAGGAACTGCTGATCTCACAAATGCTCTGTTCATTAAACAAAATTACTTGCCTTAAGATGCATTTCGATAACTAGAATTCAATTTTCTAAAACTGAAATTGAAATAAATGTGAATTAATAAATCCCTTATTCGAAAGTTTAACGTAAAATACGAGCTGAAATTTTTGCTCATTCTCCACATTTGTTGCTGGCTCCACGTGGCTCGGAAAAATAGTACGAAAAATATCTGGGCGTATCATATGGTCAAACCATCGAATGGAAAGTATGTTAATGCTACAAAAAATTGAAAGATAATTGCAGAAGTGATGATTTACAGAGGGTTTATTGAAATGCTTTGAAAGGCTTCAAAAAAAGGCGAAACACTTTAAACACGAAGGCGCACCATAAAAGGAGAGGTGCCTTTGTTACCTCTGGGGACCAGTTGTCAATCAACCGTCGTGTGATATAGAACTCTAATAGTCAAGTCAGCTTGAGCTATAGCTAATCCAAAGCAGTAAACAGCGAACGCAAAATTGTTTTATGTTTTCATCACAATACAAGAGTTTTTGATCTTTGTATTTCCTTTCTCCAATGGAAACTGTCTTTATTTTTGTGGCAGTAAATTTGAAATCGAAGTAGGTTGTTCGCACGTAACATCATTGCCACCATGCTGGTGGAGGTAAACATCTCATTAGCTCCTTTTGTTCGTCTACCAGGCACCGAAGGGAACTCTCCTTTCATAGCGCGGCTTCGTGTTTAATTCAAATATAGTTTATCATTGATAGCATTTTTTGGTAACATTAGGGTAAGAAGGTAAATGAGGTCAGTCATCAGTACTCATTATTATTACAAAATGTCCTTCAAAGGCGTAGATTAACGTTGTCTGTTCTTAGGCAACAACGAATTAACATGTTTATTCACAAATCGAAACAGGTGCTCTGATAGAAACATATTTTGGATTAGATCTCACTTCCGAGCCATCAAATTTACGCGCCCAACAAAAGTTAGATTTTACCTTTTAACCTTTCAAGNGAGTGAGCGTGTAATTTTCTGCCTCGTCTGTGACATTGAAAGTGGCGTACTTAGCGTACCTGATGTTCCCTTCAAAGTCTTCCAAGTCAACTCTCAACATGACGTCATCAGCGGCTGTCAAACGGTGAAGATTGTCGTTTCCAAGCCAGAACTCACCGATCAGATTTCCAAACCCGTCTTTGTAAGTTTTCCAGTCACGATCGAAGTCAACGGAGCCGTCCAAACGTCTCTGAAAAACGGTCCAACCTCCACCGTCCGTGGTCATGTCACACAGCACTTGAATTGGTTTGCCTCCATCTGGATTGATCGTGTACACTCCACTGGATGTGACGCCATCTTTAAGGAGCTGCTGGCAGCTTTGTGCTTCTGCGGTATCGGTTTCAGGAAGAAATACTAGTCAGAGTAAATTATCTTTATTGGATAAGGCTTGGTGAGTATAACTTGTTTTGAGGCTGAGTTGGGCACAGCTTTTTGCCTCTTTTTTATGAACGACTTAAGGGGCCGACCATTTAACTTTTAAGGGGGGGGGTTGGGTGATTTTGAAAAAATATTCCTGCATGCGCTTGTTGGAAGAAAAAAATTGGATGCAGCCCAAATGTAACAGAAAAAATGTACCAAAAAATCAGAAAAAAAATCCTGCAGAGCAGATTGCTAGAAAAAAAAACTTCTTGATGACCAGAAATCACCCACCCCCCTTCAAAAATTAAATGGTCGGCCCCTAACGAAACTACTGCGAATAATTATAATCAACCCTGTCTTGTATTAAGAGGCCATTTATTCTTGCTTTTTTCATCTATTGGCGATCAATTGGTATTATTAAGAGCTGCGCATAAATGTATTGTTGACTCATATAATTCATACAACTCAATAGTGAAATAAGTCTAAGAACACTCACCGCATGGTTTTCCAGTATATCCAGATGCATAACGACATTTACAGTCTGCAGTGTTGTTTTTATAGTTGGGAACACAGATCTCGTTTTCCCCACACAAGGAACTGCTGATCTCACAAATGCTCTGTTCATTAAACAAAATTACTTGCCTTAAGATGCATTTTGATAACTAGAAGTCAATTTTCGAAAACTGAAATTGAAATAAAAGTGAATTAATAAATCCCTTATTCGAAAGTTTAGCGTAGAATACGAGCGGAAATTTTTGCTCATTCTCCATATTTGTTGCTGGCTCCACGTGGCTCGGAAAAATAGAACGAAAAATATCTGGGCGTATCATATGGTCAAACCATCGAACGGGAAGTATATTCATGTTACAACAAATCGAAAGATAATTGCAGAAGTGATGATTTACAGAGGGTTTATTGAAATGCTTTGAAAGGCTTCAAAAAAAGCCGAAACACTTTAAACACGAAGGCGCGCTATAAAAGGAGAGGTGCCTTTGTTACTTCTGGGGACCAGTTGTCAATCAAACGTCGTGTGATGTAGAACTCTAAGAGTCAAGTCAGCTTGAGCAATAGCTAATCCAAAGCAGTGAACAGCGGACGCAAAATTGTTTTATGTTTTCATCACAATACAAGAATTTTTGAGATTTGTATTTCCTTTCTCCAATGGAAACTGTCTTTATTTTTGTGGCAGTAAATTTGAAATCGAAGTAGGTGGTTCGCACGTTACACCATTGCCACCATGCTGGTGGAGATAAACATCTCATTAGCTCCTTTTGTTCGTCTACCAGGCACCTAAGGGACCTCTCCTTTTATAGCGCGCCTTCGTGTTTAATTCAAATATAGCATTTTATTGATAGCATTTTTTGGTAACATTAGGGTAAGAAGGTAAATGAGGTCAGTCATCAGTACTCATTATTATTACAAAATGTCCTTCAAAGGCGTAGATTAACGTTTTCTGTTCTTAGGCAACAACGAATTAACATGTTTATTCACTAATCGAAACAGGTGCTCTGATAGAAATTTGCACCACTGCACCTGAAGGAGGCTGGTTTGGCCAGCCGAAATATAGTGCTCCGTCTTAAACTTTACTTATCTACGTTGTATCGGTCTTACCTCTATATTTATATTTCTGATAGAAACATATTTTGAATTAGATCTCACTTCCGAGCCATCAAATTTACGCGCCCAACAAAAGTTAGATTTTACCTTTTAACCTTTCAAAATCAGGAGATGGTAGGAAAAGTTCTATAGTTACTAGAAAATAGTATTTCTTTATCGTTACTCAACGCACTATGAAAACATTTGCATCGTTCCTAAAGTCAAAGGTGATAACCTCCTTGGAATAACGAAAAAGAATTGCAAATTGAAGTAATTTACCTTTATGCCTCTATAAAGAACTTCGGGATCTTTAGCGAAATTACTCAGTCCAGTAAACCGATCAGAGTCGCTCAGTTGACATTTAAACATTTTGTTTTGACCGGGTCCAAAGTTGTACGACAGACATGAACTTTCTTCCACACACTGCAGTCGACAAGAAGCCTCTGAATCTACTTCAACTTCCTTGATAACACTTCCTTTAAGCTGTCGACCTCTTATTTCTCTGGCAAAGTTAACGGCTTTGTAATTGGATGTTATCAATCGACTTTCTCCGTTTGTTAAAATTATCATTAAGGAAGTTAGAAG